CAGCGATCGGATAACTGTTCGTTGTTTTGAATGAGTTCGATGCCAATTCCAGCACACACGTCTGATAAAATTACTCGATAAGCATCACTTCTCTTCGATGCTCTGAATAAATTTTCTGATGACAGGTATGAGCCGTATTTAACTTTAAAACTACAGCCGCAAAATCGACAATTCTCGTTCGGCGACATGTGAACACAAATTTTGACACATGTGATTTCCCTCCGAAGAACAACAAATTTTGGCAAGCAACGGAAGTGAAAATTCACTTCCGTCGCGCCACCTGATTGGCCAATTGTTTGCGCATTATCGTTACTCGTGCATATCTAATTAGGAGGCGTTTTTCAAATTTTCAGGCGTTCCCTTCTCTCCTCTCCCCCTCCCCCGCCTCCTAATTTTTCGCCTAGCTCCATTTTACGCGTGGTCTCGAAAATAAAACAGAAAGCCCCAAAGTCCTAATTTTCGCCCAAAACTCCACAAGAACGCCTGCTCTGCAGGCTATTTTTCCTTTATCTATGTTAAACTGGCCAGAACAAGCCACGTATGTAAACAAGAGTTTGTCCTTTAACTGAAAAATTCCAGACTGCCAAAAAGCTGAGAGAAAAACCGTGTATTTGTTTTGTCTGTTTGAATTTTTTTAAATTTTCCTGATGGTTAATATATACCGAAGCTATCAGAACTTTTAACTTTGGCGAAAGATGAAGGACTCTGGGAGCTGTTATCATCTGCAGCCATCTTGCAGATGCCATGGTGAATTTTGACAGGGGTGTACGTACGTAGCGGAAGTAGGATCTGATAGGTGACGTATTTTTAGCTCATAGCTTTTTCGAACATAAATGGATGCATTGATATTCAATGAATCATTAACAAATACCATCGTATTGATATCAAGTGTATTTCATGCGCACGTCGCAACGAATGAAGTAATATAAGAGCAAGTGAAAATCGATAGTGCGGACAAAAATGTGAATTAAAACATACGGGATCAGTCATATGCGTCTCGAGTGGACGTAGTTTCATCTTGCTGATACTTTGTGAGTGAATCAATTGATACAAGTTTCATCTAACTACACCGCATTTACGTCGAGTAAGACCAGCAACTGACGATGAACAAAGTTCTGTATGGTTTGGCAAGCCCATTTCATCTAGTGACGTTCGTGCTTGGTGAGTATTATCATCAAATATTATCATTTTACCAGACTAAGAGGCAACAATCACTTTTGAAATGTTTAATCATTTCTTGGAAAGTCCAAAAATGGCGTTCTACATGGTAATTACCTTCCTCCAATTCTGTAAATTTAATTCGGGTAGAAACTGCATTCTAAAAAATTCGTAATATTTTTTGGGGATTAATACTACAATTAGAAATCAATTGATGATAAAAACGTGGAATTAAACAAGTCTTATTGATGAGTACCTTATGATCATGAATGTAACGGAATACGCTACCAAAGCTATGGTATATCTCATCAAAAACAACTTTACCGTGTCAAAATTCTAGGATGAGTGTTGTCGTTATACCTCGTTGTTTGCTGGATATCGATTAACTTAAGAGGAGGTACTATTTTGTAACAACACTTTATAGAGGGAACACCGCCTTCATCGTTCTGCGCGACGTGAGAGGGTTTTAGAAAAATTATTTGATGAATTTTTTAGAAGCGCTTGATGTAATTTTGTGTTCGCTTTAATTTGAAATAGAGCGTCGTGAACTGCCTCAAACAGATGTTTAGGATAAATGCTCGAGCTGAGCTTAAAGACGCCCAGCCACAAAATCATTAGACTAAAAAGAAAAAAGAAAATGAAAAGGGCATAAATCATAGTTTCCTTTCTAAAAATTATATTCTAAGGGGAAACGAAAAACTGTAATAATACTAAAAGTTAACTTGCCATTAAAGCAAGCGAAGCTTGGTAGTTTTAGATTTCATTTGAACCCAAGATGGTGAGCATCTTGGATGTTCATGAATGATCAAAATTCGAAAAATATATGCGGTCCACGCATATCAGCTATTTGCCACCTAGGTAATATTATAATTCTTTTTAACAACTATGTCCAAAAAAAGATAAAAAATGGGAACTTTTACATATTTTACGATGTCTGCTGGAAAGCGAAGTCTTAGATAAAGATATATTCAGGTATTATTTTAATTGTTACGTAAGATTCACGACATTACCAAGTACATGTAGATCAAACCAAAACCATAAGATTTCTGCAAGGAAAATTACGTTCCACCGCTGCATCAGTTCAACATTTACGGAGTAACCTAGTGGCTGCAGGCGTTATCAGCCGATTATCTATTTATTAATAAACCCCAATTGGTAGTAATGTCGCAATCTGATTGGCCAAATTGCCGCTGCCCGAGTCAACGTGTTACGCAGCGTGTCACGCACTGAAAGATTCGTCTGTCTTTGACACCGATTATGGTAAAAGAAAAAAACAACAACAAAAACAAAACAAAAAGCTCTGAAATCGATAGCGCTTTGGCGCACGCTGCGTCTAGTTGTCGATATGTGTACACACCACGCTAAACCACTATCGATTTTTTTAAATTTATTCACCGAATCAAAATATGGCGTCCAATTTGAATTACCATTGTTTTGGACTTACTAGCCTCGTCTTGACGTGGAAACACAAAAGGATTATCACATGAGTGAGAGGCTAGTCAGTCCAGAACAATGGCAATTCAAATTGGACGCCATATTTTGATTCGGTGTATATATTTATAAAACATGCAATTCATGTCCAGTCACCCAAGAGAATGTTACATTCATGCTAATGCTTTTGTATTGGTACAATAGATTGTCAATGTTTATGATAATTGCGCAAATGAATTTCCTATTCTTTATGAATGCTTGTCAATAATTGCAATTGTTTGTTGGTTGGTGTTATTGAAGTATAATTTGATGTAAATGACTATAAAGTTCCCGCTCAAAATGTCTGAGGGCGCATTTGTTTGTTAGTTAACGTTATTGAATATCAATACATATTCAAATATCCTAATTGAAAGTTCGATCAACACTAATGAAACTTATTCTAGAGTTAATGAAAAACTTATTTAGTACGTTATTGATATAACTTTTGGCTTAAATGAAAGTGTATTTTCTGGTAATGAACAGCAAAAGGTGTAGTAAAAATAATTGTCAACACAACAGGCAGTTGTTTGTCAACTTATTTCCAAACACCAATCAGACTGCGATAGTGAAATTGCAATTATTTCCTGTACTGCATATTTTGCCTCCGCTGAGCATGGTCTGATAATAGCAGTGAAAATAATCGTCAACGTAACAGACAACTGTTTGTCAACTTATTTTCAAAAACCAATCAGATAGTGATTGTCAACATAGGGCATTGATCTAAGTTCCCTGACACCTTTCAACTGAAAAAAAAAAACAAAACAAAAACAAAAACAAAAACAAAAACAAAAAAAAAAGAATGGTGGAATTTGAATATTCGGTATCGTTTCTGTCCAGCTTTCGTATTGCTTTGTGTTTAATCTATAGCAGGTACTCGATAGGAACAAGCACAAATTCACGCTTTCGTTACAGAAAGAAACTGAATACGAGGCCAATGCAAATACTATACGGAAAAAAAATTTTAAAAAGTAAAGGTAAAATCTCTAGAAACTCCTCCCATTACAAAGCTTTTGCCACCTGATACGGACCGAGATTATTCTGTCCATTATCCACCTGTTTAGCCGCGTACTAATGCCAATGTGTCGTCGGAGAGGTCATAATGGATCTATGAGCTTAAAAGCTAAGTCATCAAGCCATAAGGCGAAAAAAAAAACCATTGAATCTAACCGTTTAGCGTCTCACTGCGCGCTCAGTGAGACTTGCATTTCGTAATTTTACCCTTNAGTACTTGTATGAAACCAATTCAGTGCAGCATAGCTAGAGGCAGTTTTAATAACTTCCTGTTACGTTTTCTCCCTGGTATTATTACAAAATGTTTTCACAATTTCTTGATACTCGTTTTGACGCACTTAATAGGCGTGAAAGTCTGGTGAGAAAAAAAGAAAGAGAAACAAATAAAAACAATTGGAAATACGAGAGCTCTTTTATCATTTTAAATGGTCCCTTTTGTAATATCCTAATTATACGTAAAAGCGAACTTCAAAAAAGAAATAATTTACATTTAGGTAGACAAAACTACCTATACCGGAACACAACAAACTAATCGACTCGCTTTTCTAAAAATTTTCAGCGATTTGAGTATGATTCACTAGCTCTGCCTATCTTTTATAGGCGGTCATTGATCTCCACCATGTTATCCTAATTTTCCTCTATATAATATCCGTAGTCCTTCGCCCGAGCGAGGGCAAAGCGTAACGGCGATCTCCTTTCAAGCAGATGTATTTTTTAAACCGCTCTGTTGACACAAGCGCTCACCCGTGAGAGAAACGTTTTCAAGGAACAATTAACCCAGAAAACCAAAACATTGATCTTAAACATTTCAAATATACCGGTCACTAATTTAGAAGTTACTAGAACTCCGCTTTCATGGATATAAGTAATTTTATTTCTCCTAAACAAACTCGTAGTGGCAATACACTTGAGTCTGTTTACTGTCGTCATGATGGTGCAGTTCTCAAGTGGGCGGCATTTCGTTTGTCAAAATATTTCCTGACACGTTTCCCTTTATTAGAGATGAAAAAATATATGATGGTTTCCTTTCTTTTTAATTTGCGACGTCAGGTTTTTTTCATAAATAAGGATCTCAAGAAAAACTTTACAGATGTCCCGGTATAGATGACACGATAGGATAAATAAGCTCCCTGACATTTGATCGTTTTAAGACCCACATTTCCATGGTATCTTGTTATCGTAGTGCTTGTTTCGCAATTGATTACTCTGCCAAGCACCCCCCTCCTCCTTCTCTCCTTCCCCCCCCAACTCCTTGTCCCGACATGGCTATGAGTTAGTGAATAACTTTTTTATGTCGGGTGATTTATATTTTATCTGGTTTCGTCTCTCCCACAGCGACTAAGATCATGCTAATTTCAACTCAAGGTTTGTATTTTCTTTGTCGGAAAAAGGAATAGGGAATTTTTTAAGGGTTCAACATTGTCTATGATGTTCGTCTCTGCCGTCAAGAATTAAAGAAAACATCATCTATCGCTAGATAAATATTAAGAAGCGAACTACTCGGGAAGATCACTGATTTGTTATTGCTGGTAATTGTTCCTACAAAAGAATTAAAAAAATAAACCAACAAAAAAACACATAAACAAACAGAGGAAGAGTTGGCTTATAAACTTTAGACTGTAACATAAATTTCAATGTGGGTCCCCATCCCCAAAAAATAAAAAAATAGAAAAAGACAACTGAAGTCAGAAAAAACTGAGAGTATAACCATCGTAATTGTTCTGTGTGTTTTCTATAAACTATGAATACCAACCACTCGTTTCTACGTTTAGCGTGTAGAAAGTGAAGAGTGGAAATTAATGAAAACAAAAAGACAAAAGCAATCAGAGACTGTTATGGGTTCTTTATCGATTTTAATTTCTTCCTGAAAGTCCATGAAACAAGACGTGAGTGGAAAAAATTGATGTACAAAAAAATTATTATCTAAAAGTGTGTATGCAGACGAGGAAAACCGTTAATATTTTATAAATTTACACTTTTGTAACGCAGATAAGCATTGCTCCAGTCTTAACGAAACACTCAGTTACTCAGAGCTGAACAATACGGACTGCCAGCTGGGTATTAGCCAATGGCGTCAGACCTGGCATAGGATGATATGTCGCAATGAGACAGATACATCTATTGACGAGGAATGTTTTAAATCTTGGTGTGAGCAGTTGGCTTTTTGTTTCAGACAGTCGTCCAATTGGACATCGCGCTGTAAGAAAATGAAGTGGTGCAGCGAACCTTTCAAAACGTTTTATATTAACATAACAGACTCTTTGTATTTGGGCAGTATCGAAGTGAAACATTGCTGGGCAAGGAATTTCACTGCCATTAAGCTAACATCAGCGATCGAAGTATGTGCATTTAATTCGTGTGCAACAGTGCCTAATGTTTACCAAATGTTTACCTTTCACTCTTTACAGAACTTTTGCATAAACTCTCTGACCCATTAATTTATTTATTCCTTTAGGAGCAAGGCTACAAGATGATATACGTTGACCACCTTATTCCTGCTGGAATTTTTTTAATAATAATAATAATAATAGTTTAATATTTGTAGTGCGCAAATTCTCATTTACTTATGATCAAATGCGCATAAATTATTTTTAACCTTCTCAGTTTCCAAGCAAGAAACTTCTCAACGCCATCCTAAAAGAAGTGATAAACTCGTTTGGATATAAAGCAAATCAAGAAAAGATTGAACGTGCTCTTCTCTCGGTTACTGATTTGGAGGAGTTCATCGGGAAATATTCACAACATCATCTAAATGAAACTGCACCTAAGATTTACATTCGTTGTGAACATGCAGGTGAATAAATCTTTTAAAAAAGCTGATTTGGGAGTTTTCTTGATTTCTAATACGGAGTTCAGGATAAGTAATCATGCATTTTTCGTGATAGATTTTATAAAAAATCTGCTAGGGTAATGCTTGCTTTAAACTATTGATTTTGGGTGCAAGCTTTGTCACCATCAACCCTTCATCGAGTCCTGTTGGCGACATGCATCAGACCTCCATTACAGGCTGTTCATACCAGCGAATTCCTATCGCGCACCAATTGTCTCCAAGAAGTCTTTCAATTGTGTAGAATTTCGTAACAGAACGTATTAAAAAAATTTTAAAAAATTAAAAATTAAAAAAACCTTTGAATCCGTTGCGATGATATATCTTTTATAATTGAAAAATGATCACCGACACTTAATCAGAAATTCAAATTGAGAACGCTCCTTCGACTGATAATCATTCCAAAGTGCTTGCATTGACTTCTAAGTGATAGTTTTCAGCCCTTCTAGGCCTAGATATATCAGGAACGGTAACTTGTGACTAATACGAGAGCATCGTTATTTATTTTGGCCTGCACTTAAAATAAGTCTTCTTTCAATTAGATATTTTGGTCAGGAAGATTTTTAACGAAAATGAGAGTGATGTCCAACTTGGGGATGATAAAGGAGAAAACTCTCTCAGCCTTCCCACTGCAGGCTTGGATAACGGTTGGAGAGTTATATATTTTTCATTCTTTTAAGTGTAGAAAATTACACATTTTTTGCTGTATTATCCAAATTTTTTGGTTATTGATAATGGTGAGAGGATCAGGTGGAGTCCAACTCTGTCTTTAATCAAACAAGTTCGGACAGAGTTGGACGACACGAAGTCCTGTTGCCAATTAATAAAAACTATGACAAATTTACGAAAGAACCTCAACATAAGTAATATGTTTTCATAAAAAATAAACAAACAAACAACGATAACAACAACGACAGTTAACTGGGCGAAAAGTGCGGTAACAGCTAGCGCACATTACACGTCCTGTCCACTTTTAAAATTTCCCTTTACCCTTCCCGTAACATTATCCAATTAGAAGCATGAAGCGTACACTGTCCTATTCAGTGCTCAAATCAGGTTACTGATAACCAATCAGGTTAGAAAATTTAGTCATAGTTTTGATTATCAGTGTTATTGGTCAGAAGGGGGTTGGGTTTTATGCATGAAAGAAAATTCAAACTGGATGGCTGATATTTTAATCTGGTTGCTTGTTTATAATTATTTTTTATAATTTGTCCGTCCGTCGAAATATTTTATTCCAATTCAAACGTAAGGCATACCATTCAAATTAGCCAATAGGCTTGTAAGGTCTAAAAGTCGTTATTGCTTCTCCTTCTTTTTATCATTAGACCGGTAGTATTAAAATTGTGTCCATTATTACGTCTTAGGATCTGTGGTACTTGGCGTCATTTACAAAGATCTCCATCAAATGTTCCTACCGAACAAGGCCAATTCTGCCTCCGTCAACAAAATAGGGTTTGCTAAAACTTAGTTCTATTTTATAGTATCTTCAAGATTGTATAGTTCTCTTTTGGTGTATAGTTAAGCTACATAAGGCAAGTTAAAAGCGATGTTCTCGATCCCAGTTTTTATTTCACTTTTGCTTTGATTTTGTTTTAATAACTTTTTTTTCCTTTTTCTTTTTTTCTTTAATAACTTTTATCCTTTTCCTTTTTGCTCTTAATTTTATTTGTCTTGTTTTCTTTTTCGTGTTCTTTTTTAGTCTTTCTTGTGATTTTTTACATCTGAATGATATACACAGAAAAGTAAATAAATGCATGATAAAAAAAAAAAAATTAAAAGAACACTAAGAAGAAATTCCGCTTTGCCTACTTTGGACCGTGAAGAAAAAATTTCGACGGAGTTGTTAATACTTTCGATTAAGTAAATGCATACGACAGCTTTTTATTTTTTACCTAAACATTATACAAACATGTTTTTTTATCTATCCCTTCCTTTATAAATTATTGGGATTCGTGTTAAGGAACATCAACACATTTATCTTGTCTGTAACGATATGGCCAAGGAAGAACTTACTTAAGAAGAATGTTACGTTGAAATTTAAAAATTTGAAGGTAAGTTGCAATTAATCAAGAGAGAGTTTCATCCATGTTTGTAACTATCTAAAAGAGTTTAAACAGCGTTGGTATATCTGGATAATATAAATTAAGTTTTCCAATTACACGTACTGAATTCTTTTAAACGTATCTCTCCTGTATCATTATTGTTTCGATCTGTTTTTTCTTTGTTTATATTTGCGTATGCCATTTTTTCCGCTTTTGTCTTGTTCAGGCTAGGGTTGACTTTCGTTTATGTTGTAGTTGTTGCTGTTAATGTTGAGTTTATTTCATCCTACGTTGTTAGCACTATTTTTCGACTACAAGGCCTTATTTCATTTCAGGGCGTCTCTCAAAACGAGACAAACTAGACTAGAAATATCGTGAAGCAACTCTTCAGATGGGTCACAAAAGGGGGAGGGGTCTGAAAAATCGCGGCGACACTACTCCTGCCTCTTTAATTATGAGCCAGCAAGACACTGAATTACATAACTCTAATGATGATTTCACGGTTTCAGCCTGCAACATTGGACAAAAGATGCATGTTTTGGGATACTTCCGAAAAGAGGTAAACAACTTTGAATTAATTAATGGCATTGATTAATTAATTAATGGCCTCTGTCAGTGGCGCACCGTATAATAATAATAATAATAATAATAATAATAACGAATTTTTATTCAGGATTGAAAAACCCATCAGTGTGTAACACTGTTGTCCTTGGGGTCCTGTTCACTTCTTCCTCCTTCTCCTCTTTCCCAGGCTTCCGTATGGGAAGTGGTCATTAGACATGTTACTTGCGTTGTTTCTTATTTTGCTTTTTTTAGAATTTTACGACTGTTTTTCTAAATGCTTTCTGCATGCCCTCTAGTTGGTCAGGACATGGGTGTCTCCTAAAATCTAGAAACGAAACTTACACCGAGTGCAGCTGCAATCATCTGACTCACTTCGCAGTTCTAATACAGTTTGACAGTGGAACTAGTGGTAACAGCTTAACTAAGGTAGGGATATTTCGAAATATACATTCTAGAAGGCGCAAAGCATGGGCCTGGCGCTTTTTCCTGCCTCGGTGTTAAACCGGGTGTGGGGTATGTAGCCTTTTTCTGTTATCATCATTGAATCTCTGCTTTCTTGTTTTCATTTTCAAGACTAACGAAAAGGCGCTTCAAATTATTACATATGTGGGCTTGTCCTTCTCTTTAGTTGGAATCGCTTTAACTATCATCAGCTATGCTCTTCTTACGTAAGTATATGACATAATTTCACGCAAGCACTCTAAAGTGAGCTGAGATTTTAGATCCAACAAGAGCTATGATTGGCTTAGACGTGTAAAGTGATATGAGTCAAGTGGAATTATCTTTGTTTCCCAAAGTATATAATGGCTTTCTATAAAATGAGGATAGAACTGATATGGAGGAGTCCTCTTACAAATCATTCGTTTAATTTTGATTAGAGACATGAGGGGACCTTTATCTCAGATCCGAGTGAGTCTAGTCACTTCACTTGGTGCAGGTCAAATTATCTTTCTAACTGGAATTGGTGCTGTTGAGAACAAGGTGAGATGTTACATGAAAAAAGTAGCGTCCCTTTGTGTTAATCTTTATGACAGTAACCTGCTCTTAACTTATTCAGTCCATGCCACTTTTTCTATCCTGTGCAGTCTACCTGTGTTACAGTAGCAGCTTTAGTGCAGTATCTCCTGATGGCCGCTTTCTGCTGGATGCTTGTCGAAGGAATTTATCTATACATGTTCGTTGTAAAAGTTTTCAACGTCAACGACAAGATGAAGGTGTCACATGGATTTTCATGGGGTAAAAATGAATTTAAAACTTGTCATACTCTCATTGATAATCGTTTAAAAGAAAAACAGAACATATATAACTACCATTACCATCATCATCACCTTCATCACTACCATCATCATCATCACAGCCTTGTAGCTTGACATTGTAATCACTTCGAGTTTCAAATGCACAGGTCTACCCGCCCTCGTCGTTTCCATATCGCTGGGCATTGCAGCAGGAAGCGAACAGGGGATTAAAAGCTATGTCAGTGAAAAACTGTGAGAAGTGACGACTTTTTTCTTCTGATCCATGAGCTCTCTGTCACGAATCCTCGTTTTCTGCCTTTTCGTCTGTTTGTTTTATTTTGTTATTTCTCTTGTCATCTTTTCTTGTAAGCAAACCGGGCATAGAACGTACTATGTACGTGCATGTACACAAAATAGATCATTGATTGATAATTTATCAAAGTTTCCAATACCTAATTTACTTCAGCTGCTGGATTTCATCTACTAACGGGATGATCTGGATATTTATTGTCTTCGTCGTGCTGATTGAGTTGGTAAGTTGAATTCTTAAGGTTTATTTCGCTTTCAAATTTTGTTTTCAGTTATCGTCGGTATCGCGACCATTTTTTCTTACTACTAACCTCCTAATCTTATTCACTATATTCAATAGTATTCCACGAAATATAAAGTGTATTTTCATGGGGAGACGTCATTGTTATAAGATGTCGAAAGCGGTTAACTTGCCGGAAGGCAGTTTACGAAGTCCTGGTTCGAAACTTTATCGGTTAATTGTTTGTGTTGTTAGTCGAGGCATTTTGCGTATACATGTTTTTGATTTAGTTTGATAAGTGTATATATATATATAAACGAATAAACAAGGAATAAAGTTGTTTCACTTATCCTTGGAGTGCTCGATGCAGAAATGTGCAGAGCAAAATACAAATGTGAAAGAAGAAAATTGTTACTAGTTACTCGAGTTTCACGCTCTGGGCGATAATCAGACTGAGCGTTGTCTACGAGAAGTAAACGGTTATGAATGTTTAAAATTCAAGAAAGGTTAGAAGTCGTCACGCGCGCTTATTCTGATTGGATGCTGTGAAAAACTTAAAAACTTGTTTTCGTGGCGGCATTTGGTTACAAGTTCCGATTTCTTATTTGAGAGAGAGGCATTTTGAGCGGTCAAGATGCAAAGTTTTTCAGCCAAACATAGGTTGCAACGAGATGGTTTGCCTTTGTATGCTCTTGCCCTTTTAATGATGCACCAGTTGATCTTGTAGTCATTGCCTCGCTCCTTTAAGTCCCAAATGTGTTTTGAAAGTACAGTGTCATGTGAGTATTTTCGGTTTTTGAAAGAGAGTTTGTGGTTGTTGTATCTTGTTTTGAATGCGTGTTCTGTCATTCTAATGTAGTTCCCTGCGTTACCATATGTTGTTGTGACAGTTGCTTCGTAGATGATGTTTCCGGTGAGGCACGCGCCGTCAAGAGGGCAAACGTTTTTGTTTCTGCAGTTGCATTTCTTTTCGCTGGATCCCTCGTCGTTTTCATTTAGGATTTTCTGATTGTGGCTTTTGATTATATTAGCCATGTTTGTAGTGCAGCTGTAGCTGACCTTCAGGTTGTCTTTCTTGAATATTTTATGGAGCTTGTGTGACTTTGGGAAATGCTTATCAATCAGGCGGAAGAATGATTTAGCGATGTTTGATCAGACATTCTGACCAGTGTACGGTGGGTTAAACCAAATTATTTTCTTTGCTCTTTTTCGGGATTTTTTTCTTGCTTGGGCCTTGACATAATGGATCCGTTCGTGGTACCCACTAGATTTCAGGGCATTGTTGTATAACTGCGAGGATTTATTGAACTCGTCTTGGTCGCAGGATAAGCCCGATATTCTGGTGCTGGGATTTGCCTAATTGTAGAAGGGGGATGATTGGATTTGGCGTTGATGTACAGCGGATCGTTGTCGGGTTTCCTGAAAGGGTAATACTTTCCATTTGTCAGATTTAGCGTGACATCCAGGTAATCGACCACCTTGAGATTGCTTAGCACCGTAATCTTCAATCCAAGGTCTCCGACTAGCTTAGTAAAACCCTTTCTTGCCATGTCGCCGGTTCTTGCGTTCATGTTCTTGAAGATTGCTAAACCGTCGTCTCTGTACAAGCCGATTTCCCCTTCTGGGAATTTTGATGATAATTTGTGCAGGTAACCGTTTACTTCTCGTAGACAACTCTCAGTCTGATGATCGCCTAGAGCGTGAATCTCGAGTAACTAGTAATAATT